CATCACTTTATTTTTTCTTTAATGTAAAATTGATTTTGTTCATATCCTGAGCTGTAGTTACGAAGATCATCCAAAATTATCTACCACTAAGTATAATTGGTATCGACGCAATTAGGGTAAAGTCGCGTAACGAACTTATTGTAGGATAATATTGATTCATGAGCCACGTGGGAGGAATATTGCGTCGTTGCTGGTGTCCCACGTGTCGTGTCGTATAGGCTAACCAGATACTTTAATGACCCTTAACGACGAGCAATTAGTGCGATACGAACGTAATGGTACCGGCCTTGCGTTACTAGCTGCTTGTCTTCGTTACGAAAAGAAAATGTTCCAAATTATTGCTTTTATTTGATGTTATTCGACCATCTATCCTATCGTTAGAGATCACAATCATCCCCTTTTATTTATTATTTAATCGAATTTTCTCGTCAAATTTCTAATATAAAATATAAACCGTTCGGTTCTCTGTTAACCGAATGAATGAAAAGTCAACTTTGTTCTTTTTCCTTCATTCATTCTTGAGTCTTCTTATACGTTGCACTAATTCGTTAATAATTTATGTGAGATCAAGATGACTATTCTGTTTGAACCACTTGAGAAATCCAGAACTCAAGAATCAATCTTTCTTTCTTTCTATCTTCCTTTAAATTTTCTTTTTTACGTTGTCAGACGTTTGAAGACGCCGGCATGCATCTCGTTGCGTGAATGAATCTTTTTTCAAGTGAGGGGTGGCACTTTGGTAACAGGACGCGTGCCGCTCTTGAAATGCGGTCTTCTCAAAGTAATCCTTACTATATTCTTATACGTATACATACCACCATAATCACCCTGCTTAGGGTATTAGTTGCATTTGACATTTATTTAGAGATCGTATTTTTCTGTTATCGCGAAACTCGGATGCTTTTTCTTTTCTCTCTCATCTTACAGATACTATAAGTAGGTACGGATCTTAGAAAAGTGATTAATAACGCCGTTATGTCTAACAAATCAGACATCTGGAGTAGTCATTTTTCGAGAATACTATCCTATGTGGTAAGCAGTGTCCTTTTTTGAGCTGTAAGACGAGTACAAGGAGCGCGGTGTTCGACTTTGGTTAATATGATACCGTGACAAGAAAGTAAAGTCTAGTCGTTAGGATCACGAGGTTTGTTAAGAGAGAGAGAGAGAGAGAGAGAGAGAGAGAGAGATCTCTCTGAAGGAAACGACCTCCCTGAACTTTCTCGTCCTTCGTTGTCCAAATTTTCTTCTACGTGTTACCGACGGTGTTGAAAAATGGTCTACAGTTTCCAAAGTACCACCCATATTTTCCTCTCTTTTTTTTTCCTCTAGATACTTTGACAAAAAGCAGTTGGAAAAACTCTGTCTACTTATTATTTTTATTTTTTTTTTAATTAAATTATTCTCATTAAATGAATATATCGTGTGCACGATTAGTAGAATCGTATTACATATAGCTTATAAAGTCATATACAAGAATAAAATTATAAACGATAAAAAAAAAGTATTCTTACAAAGAAATAATGCCAATCTGGCGCTGTGAAAAATATTCTATTTTTGATAATATTGTTTTTATGAGAATATGATAAGTTCAAGGAAAAATTCGTATATACAAAATCTTTCATTATATTATACACTTTCAACGATATATTTTCCAAACGTTTCCCCATTGACAAAATATTATAATATAAATATTACAAGAATAATTATAATAATAATAATATTCTAAAGAAAAAAGAAAAAAGAAATTAAGAGAAAGGGAGAACATGATAACCATGTATTTATTTTTATGTATAAAAGTTTCTTTATTATCTATACACATGTACAGAATACGTCAAATTCACTTACTTATGGGTTTTAAAAGGGATTGTCAAGCGATCAACAATTCCAACGCAGAGTAGTCGTTCGTTTTATTCTTTGGCACAACAGGATGTTCCATTGCGAAGTATCGTTCTCTCTCTCTCTCTCTCTCTCTCTCTCTCTTTCTCTCTTTCTCTCTAACACTAGCGGGGTCGTAACGTAGCCGCAATTCTCCATTCGCTTGAATCGAACCACAGGGGGGTGCTGTGAAATTAATCGCACAGCGGCGGTGTCTTTGTCGAGCGTTCGCTATAAGTTTTATTATCCGCGACACGTTCGACTCGCAAACGCGAACGACGAAGACTACGACGACGACGACGACGGGGCAGGGTTCTAATGACGGCGCAAGTCCTCGTGAATTGCTGGTACACGTGACACGTACACGGATAATTATTCATTTCGAAAACGATGTGACACGAGGCAACGTCATAAAAAAAAAAGAAACAAAAAGAAGACAAAGAAAAACAAAAAAAAAAGTGAAAAAGAATTATTATGCCGCGGCCTGCATTTAAGTACCGTTACGTTCTTTACATCTTTCCACTTAACATCAAATTACGGTGAATATTTTTTAAGATTGTAGTTAAAAATACGAAGGTTGTAAAAAAAAAAAGAAAAAAGAAATCGTCTTTATTTGAATAATAAAATTTCATCATCTATCGAGAGTTATGCGTGGATTAGAACGAATCGAGCAAGAAACCCTTCAACCCTCCTTGACTGGTTCAATCTCAAAAAAAAAAGTCATCCCTAATTGGTAGTACTCTCGTATGGTCGTCCGTTTATTCGCCATTCACCAGACAACCCCCCGCGAATCGTTGCGGTAGGAGAAACCCTCTCTCTAACTGCTTCTGGAGTTTCCCTATCGCTACTTTGCATAACGATCTAATTTCGTAATCTCTACCATATTGATCCGGTTTATACCACCCCATCTGTAAATTGTTTATTGCGATCGTTGTCGATGTCCTTTTCAGGATTATATTTCTTTAAATATATGTATTGAGGAAGCGAGTATAATTATTATAGTCTTTTTATTTTTTATAATCATCTTCTATAATAATTTTATTTATTTATTTTTAATCGTGTTTATATTATATCATGTTAAATGATTCACCTTATGTATGTGTGTGCGCGCGTGTGCTTACAAGAGATAAAACGTAAAATAATCGTTTACAACGTAGATAACATATCCGAGAGCCGTAAATTTTTTTAATTTTTATTTGGTTTTTTTTTTCGTTTTTTTTTTGTCTTTTTTTTTTTAGAATGTCACGGCATTCTTATATACACAGGTCTTTATCAACGAATAATTAATACTTACAGTTATTATTCGAACCTAACTCATATCTCTTGTCTACATAAACTGTATTTGCAGTAACGTTTACACATTTTAATTACGCCATCATATAATTACTAACAACTGACGATTAAATTTATGATAATACGCTAATGACGATATAAAAGAATATTCAAGAAAAATGATTTAATTAATAGAAATGACCAGGTCGTGTCCTAGCAACGTCATCGACGGTAGCGTAAACTGGTCGAGTCATCTTCGCTAATAACGCACAGGGGCTGTTCTTTCGCGCATACCTTTGTTATATTCATAAAATATACAGAACGAAAATGATATTAAAAGAAAAATATATATCTATCCAATATAAATAGCCCCAGACGGTCGAATTCATTTTTATTTTACAACCCTCCTCTTATATTTCTATAAACTTATAATAAAATTAATGTTAGCGAGAGAAATCCATCATTTTGATATAATAATTTTAAAAGTGACGAAATACCACGCCTAGAAAGAAAAAAAAATGCATCAACATAATTGGCTATAGCCGTTTAAGGTAAATGGGGAAAGGTAAAGCTCGAGGAGATAAGACCTAAAGCAGATGTTTCGCGAATGCGAATCCATTTACTTTGCTCGGTGTTAAAACGTTAGAAGTTTATAAACTTATAGGAGCATGAATCGAGGCGACAAAGTATCCAACATCCGTAGGGACGATGTCGGTTGGTTGAACTGCTGGTACAGAGGGTATCCTTGTCAAAATTCAACGAGGGAGATGAAGTAACGCAGGGGGTAATGTAAGTAAAAGGGGACTGATGTTATGACGGGACATTTCATGGCTGGGAGGGTCCACGATTTAACGGCCCGTGCGATATTACCATCGCAATATCTCTCTATGCGGGCCAATCTCTCGACTCCTTTTACTTAGAATCACTTAACGAATCTGTTACACGTCGCTAACTGTTTACCAAGATTATGTCTTCCTGATCCGAGAAGAGAAGATACATATATACATATATATATCACGTGTTATGTAAGAGAAAAAATAATAAAAAGTAATATCCTCGAACGATGATATGAATACAGAAACACTATGGTTACTCACAAAAGCATTATTTATTTCCTCTCTTTATCATTTTAAAATGAATTTATAATTATATAATAATAATAATAATAATAATAATAATAATAATAATAATATATAATTAATAATAATAATAATAATAATAATAATAATAATAAAAATAATA